CCACAGCATGTCCATTTATCTGTAAAACAACGTGGTTCTGTCCATGTACCATGATGATAGACTTCTAAATCACCACTATGAATAAAATCCTTTCGACCAAGATGCGCTACAGCTGTATCATGATATACACACGGTCCTATTTCAAAATCTTGGTATAAATACTTGCCACATGTAACACAAGTTGCTCGTCTCCATCCAAAGTATTTAGCATATTTATGCTTAATCAAAGCATTTTTTATTTCATTAATATTTTTAATTGTTAAATCAGCTACATCATCGTCATCGTCATATTGTTCTTCGCCGTACACTGGAATAATTTCTCGAATTACACAGCCTAATTCAGATGTTTCTCGGTTCCAGGCATGAAATGCTTTGTCATATATTTTCTTCGGTTTACTTAGGTCTGCACGATGTAACAGTATGATATTATCCAAATGTGAATTCGCGATCATTCTCTTTAATGAGACCAAAGCACGAACTGTATCGCCTTTAAGTCGTTTAACAATAAGAGGATCATGAATATATAAGATAATACTCGATAATCGATACTTGCCATTAAATAAAAAATGTCGTAGTTCGTCGGTTGCTTCATTTATAGCATTTTCGTCTTTATCGTTTAATCCACGTGTATCAACGATAGGCCAATTATCAACGTAAGATAAACTTGGATATTTGGTACCCGCTTCAAGACCATGACCGACTTTTTGATTTGAATCGGTAAGAAGATTGATGAGCGATGTCTTTCCGACTCCTGTTTCTCCAATTAATAAATTCAATGCTGGCCGATAAACATCCACACCAAGAGGTATTTGATCCATCTTGTTATCTTTGTTGCCTAAAGAAAAAGTTAATTTTAGATGCTTTTATGCATAGCGTACATACCTACCAAATGAAAAAGTTGAAAATAAATGGTCACGATGTATATCGCGTTGTGTTCACTCATCACAATACTATTTAATTTCACTTACACAAGTCCCAAAGATAATTTAGTCAAAATGGATTGTTTAACAGAGAAATGACTTTAGTAAGTACTTATACAGCAGTCTTTAAAATCAATACTAAAAATTTGTCGTAGGCTCCCTTGAGTTCTCAATTGGGTATAAATGAACTCAAGACCTCAGACTTTGTATCTAAGTACTCATTAAACACGCAAACCAGGATGCCAATATATAGAACAATCAACATTTTCGAAAAAAGAAGCAACCGTTTTAGTGATATGTCACTTTTGCTTTCATCCAAAACTAACGCCTGGATGCGTTTTAGTCATTAAACGTCTGAGACGGAATCAAAGCTAAGTTTTTTAGATGATAGCAAAACTTTACTAAAGTTTCGCATGACACATCAATAAACATAGTTAAGAAACTACTGCGACCAACTACGGCTACTCTAAAATAAAAGTTCAACTTCATCTTAACACTCAAGTTCACTTCAGTGCAATTTGAGGCTCAAATTCAGGCTTCAACTTTTCTTGTTAATCCAGTGGCTCGAAATGATTTTCAACTTGATTCAACATGATTCAAAGATAACTTGATAGAAACCTTACTTACTTTAAGAGGACAAACGGTGGCGATAAATACATTTATGGCTGTGTTTTCTTGTTCTGTCACGATTATTAAAATTGTTTTTCTTTTCGTTGTTTTCTTTTCGTTCGAAATGAGACAGAAAGTCAAGAAAGAAAGATAAGATATCTTAATGCTTTTAGAAGTCATACAAACAGCTTGATTGACCAAAATAAAGGGGTAAAAGCAGGAAAGCAAGACAGAATTTTTCTTTTTATGTAATAATCAGTTAAAATGAAATTTAATGTTGAATCACGTTATATAAACAACTTTAGAACTGACGAAATATAAAACGTAATTAAAATAGTAGTCGCTCTCCTCTATCTCGTATGCAAAAGTAAACATTTCTGAGTAAGATGACGTTTGGTGATTGGAAAAATAATGTATGGCTACTGAGCTATGAAGTTTTCAAAATCAGCCTGGAGGCAAAAATAGCGCGCTTTGAGCATGAGGCACCGGTTTCAGTAAAATTAAAATATCTCAGCTTTATAAAGTGGGTTTGCGTCATTATTTAAGTTGATGTCTAGATTACCGATTTTGAATATCTTTGCGTCATCATGTAACGGATGCGGCAGAATAAATGGCCGATTTGTGAAATAACCCATTTTTGCCTATTTTTGAGTAAAATTAAACAGTTCATAACTCAGTCAAAATCCATCCAAACTATGCCAGATTATCAAGAGGTACTGTGTATTACGTGCTCAATGTGATTTTTTACTTAAGAATAGTAAAAAACATCCTTGCAGTTCGAAAGATTTCTAGAAAACATTTTCAAAATCCAAAGTATTTTCTGTTGGTTTGTATAGCTTTTATCGAACTCCACAGCACTGAGCATGTAATACAGAGTACATCTTGATAATCTGACATAGTTTGAATGAATTTTGACTGAATTATGAACTTTTTAATTTTACTCAAAAATAGGCAAAAATGGGTTATTCCACCTAATATAGGTTTTCACCAGGTTTTTGAAACCTATTTGAAAAATAAATGTTGCCACGAGGTTCAGCGTGGTTGATTACCTATGTTTCCATTCGTCGTCGAAATTACCACACCTAAAGAAATATTGATTCTGGGATTCTTAAGAACTCCGATGCCGCACCCGAAATAGGAAAAATTAAGAGTTCGCTTAGTTCCCATTTTGGAGAGAACACTTTGGACTGTATATCTACAAAAAAAACTGATAGATTGCTATCTCTGTATCCGGAGATCCAAACTGGTTTTCTAAAGATCTCCTAGAAAGCAGATCTTCCGAATATTTTTCGAGGAAGATTTTGCTTAAGAAAACATAGGCAAAACTATTTTCTTTCGATTGCTAAAAACCCCAGATCTCTATCTTTATTAGTTATTCAAAAACCGCTAATTAGCGTGTCTCGTGTAGAAAGAGGTAATAATCGCCTCAGAGAACTGCAGAATTTTCTATTCAAAATCGTTTTTTGTGCTACTGGTCAAACGTCCAACAAATTTTTTAAAAATATAGTTCATTATAAAGAGTTGCGGTTTTTTTTATTTATTGGGGCACTCGATACTCCTCCGGATGAGAGGAAGAAACTTCTGAATTAGGCTCTGGTTCTGTAGAAAACCTCGTCTGTCTAGAACTCCTCTGATGGTACTTCAAGGTT